CGGGGATTCGAACCCGCGACCCGCAGATTGCAAGTCGAGTACCCTAACCACCTGGACATATTTAGCTATTGCCGGTTAAATTATATGTAAAAATAAACATAGCTTTGAATGATAACGCAACACGTTCAAAATCCTAAATTATTTTAAACACATATATAGATATACTATATATATAAACACTCACCAGCACTTCTAGCTCTCCCTTAGCTGCTGCAGAAAAAATTGATCGAATCCATTCTGGTGCACGACGCCATCGTCTTGAAGCGCCACCTAACTTAGAGTGAGAAATCTGCTGTGATTGAAGTTGGTCACGGGACTTACGAGATACTAGACTGGGTTTTAGATTTTCAACACTTTTTGTACTGACAGGATCAAGTGAAGAATAAAACATGTGCGATTTATTATGAGCGCTGACACCGCGAAGAGACAACACAGAACTTCCGTCACTTTGAAAGTTTCTGTTGTCATTAGTCCTAACTTCACTATCTGACAAGCACAAACGGGCATAGTCTCGTTCTTGTCGTTTTCCATGATGACGTCTCACTTTAAGATTCTGTTTTCTGTCAAAAAACATGCCTTCTTCGCCAACTACTGTAGAAGACACAGCTTTCCGTAGCTGTTTCAAAGTTCTTTTCAAAGAGCTCCCAGCCACGTGACTCGAATCTATCACACCGCGGTGCTTCATAGGCTTCGAATGTCGTGAAGAAACACTGTTCGCGTCATCGGAGGCACTGGATGAGTTTGTAGTTGGCTTGCGAGGTTTCGATTTTCCCTGAGACAAGAGTAAAGTGTGCGTCTCTACTACTTGCAAATCACAACTACCTTTTGATTCTTGGTTTCTTCTTTGACAAGAGTCTAACAAGAATTGATCACTATCCACATTGTCATTAACAGGTTCATTAGTAACATCTGTTAGTTGATTTTGGAGGTCTATGGGTTTATCTTCTGTGCCTCTTTCTTGGATTTCCCAACCAGTAAGAGATCCTTTTCCAGAAGTATCAAGCTGTGTTTTTTTCCTTCGGTTTCTTCCTCCACTGGTTGCTGAATGAGAGATATTGGTGGAAGGGGGGTCATCCCCCCGATCAGTGGCTCCCAGTGCTAGCTCACTTAAAGTGTCTATAATGGACACGGTCTTAAGGTTGGTTGATTTTCTCATACAGTGGTATTTAGTAGCCTCAACCGGGATGTCATAGAAGTTCAATAAACACAACTCATTGTCATCCAGAACAAATTCTTCTAATATTTCTTGTTCTTTCTGATCATACCCCTTCCTACTGCCAGGAGCTCGCATAGCAAAAGTTGAAGAAGAAACAGCATTAATAGGTACATTCAAGGATTCTTTGATCACGTGAGACTGATTGGTGCTTGGTTCTAGCTTTCCTTTTCTTTCCTGTTTTATTGAAAATTAATAATATCATTATATATTATCTTAATAAAAATATTTATAATTATATCAAATATTAATACTGTTCAATATTTAGTCACGAAATAAATGTACACGTAAATAGATATTATATTTGATAAAAAATATAAAATGGCATTTCTGGTTATTTAAACAAATATTTCTGTATCTACAACCCACATTATATAACTAATTAGCTGTTCAAAAGTCTTTCATTCTGAATTTTATTTCGCAATTATTATAATTATCACTATCGTTTTATTGCAAGTACTTCAAATGCAAATACCGGAGATGACACTACATCAGTACTCCTCCTTTTCGTGATATGATATACCAATTACTGTTGTTTTCGTATGCTCTTAAAACTACCAAGCGCTAGCGGCTCCTTTGTTAGTTCTCTGTCTGAATTCCAACGAAATGATCGCCATTCCTGTTAAACAACTTGAAAACCCACTGGGAACCAGTAATCCAGATTTCAACTCGATAGTAGATTGCATATGGACTCACCTCTTGAAGCAGAATAAGAGGATTGTATGGCTTACACAGTGGTCAGTTTTTTATTTGTGTAATTACCGTTTCACTCCATGACTCACCTTGCAGGAGGCCTTGAATTGCCAGAGTGAGTGGGAGTCACCAAAAGTAAAGCAAGGATATGAAGGCATTAGTTTGATTTATGGGTCGGGGGTGAGAAAAATAAACCGTCCAAAAATCGCAAGTATTTCCGTTTTTCTGCGGAACTCGCTTGACGAGCAAAATATTATACACCTGTATATATATTTCAGCGCATTTTCGGCAAGGATTGAAACTCAGAAACGTACTAGCAGGCCTTGTGAATAGAAAATCGTAAATTAGACTGGCGAAGTAGGAGGTTTTTGTCTCCTAAAGCCTCTGGCGAACATGACGGCCTAAAGGCATGCTGATCGTGGACCATATTCTTATGTTTGTAAGGAATGTGGAAAATTTATATTCAGCTGTATTACGAGGAATTGACTTTTAAAAATTATAAGGTATGCATTTATGTTAACTAATATGAAGGTACTAAAATATAAAATAAATGAAGGCTTTCTCATCTTTCATATATATCAAAATATAAGAAAAAAAATCAAAATCAGCTCTGTACCCTTTATGAATTTTCCACGACTGCTGCCTAGTTTCTCATCTGCTTTTTGGATTTTGTCTGATAGATGGGATATCTCCAACGCTTTTGGGTGATATTACCACAGACAATCTCTGTTATGACTTTTGGATAACGACCAGAAAGTGTGAAGGCTTTTTGTGTTTTTTTTTAAATAGAATTTTGAACTTATAAACAGAGGAAAGGTGTACAAGTTAAATATCTTTATTTAGTAACCTACACGATTACATAAGCCTAATTATTGATTAGTCACTAACTGTTTTTACTAGATACAAATTAGTGTTTAATTAGTATTTTGTGACATAAAGGTTAATTACAATATTACCGATTTACTTTCACTCCAACCTAATACTGTTAAATTCATCAAAAGAGAATTTTCTCCTGTTTAGTAAAATGTATGTGAGTATTAATATTAAACAAAAATAAATATAAAAGTAAACTATAGTCCATGTAACTTAACATGGCCTTCGTATGTGTGAAGATGAAACTGAGGGTACAGCACAAATGATTCATATATCTGTGTTTCTGATTCACATCGTTATGATTTAAATACTTCATTGACTATGATATATGCCCCCCAGTGGCACAGCGGTATGTCTGCGGACTTACAACGCTAGAATCCGAGTTTCGATCCATGTGGTGGGCAGAGCATAGATAGCCCATTGTGTAGCTTTGTGCTTAATTACAAACAAACAAACTATGATATACGACATTTATCTATCTATCTATATATATATATATATATATATATATATATACATACACACACACACACACACACACACACACACACA